AATTATGTATATACCTTATTAGAACAAATTATTGTAAAGAAAGTACCAGTGCATACATGTAATTTCTCACTGTATCAGGTAGAATGACGACAACTCGCTCTCCTGCTCCCATGCTTGACTTTTTTATTGTTTCTAAGGCAGCCCACATGGCAGCCCCCGAGCTGCCTCCTATCAGTATAATAAATAGAGAAAAAGAAACTTTCAACCAGCTTCTACTGAGATTTGTTCATAAGAATTACATGAAAAGAGCTATCATACCACAAAGAAGACCTTCACGCTTGATTAATTTGCGAGCCATTATAAAAGATTCTTTGTCAGAAACCTTTACCCATTCATCAACATGACTGCGGTCAAGGACAGTAGGGATAAAATCATATCCAATTCCCTCAACATCGTAGTAAGTTATTTCGGTTTCATTTATATACTCAGGTTCTGCAAGTATGGAGCCAAATGGATCAACCCCTATAATCTAAATGAAATAAACATTATAATTAAATATTTTTAAATTTCAAACACTAATATAAATCAGGGATTAAAACTGTGAAGGATGTTGAGTCTTCTTCGAGAGTGTAAAAAGTATTATTTAGTAGTGAAATAGAGGTTGGAGATAGCATTTCAATGTGCATAAGACAGAGTTTAAGATATAAAAATAAAAGACAAACTGAACTATACAAAATAAAGGCTGGGAATAAATAAATACAAGATGAAAATTATTGAGACATACTATAGGGACTCACAATAAGATGATAGTCATATGAACGATCACTAGTTTAAGGTAGTAAAAGGGAGTAGGTATAAATATGCTTTCCGAGGCTAAAGACAATAAGAGATAGTGAAAGTATGAAGACCAAGATGGTGTGGCCTTTTGTGTCGTCGCAGAGGTTGTTTGACCTTGTTTTCACAACTTGGTCATATTTGTAAGAAGACTTAGAGGAACGCATATAGTGCGGAGTTCATTGTATGCATGATAATTTACAAATTGGGAATGTACCACGTTCACGGCCCGACTTTAAAAATTATCATGCATACAATGGACTCCAGCCTAGGTGCGTTCCTCTAAGTCTTCCTACCAATATGACCAAGTTGCAAAAACAAGGTAAAACAACCTTAATAATAGATATTGTCATGGCTATTTTTCGTAAGTAGTTTCGCGACTATCTCTAAATCAGTAATATGGTATCACAAACGAAATAGGGTGAATTCATCTCATGTTACTATGGCTAGTTTACTTTAAGGCTTAATCAAGGGAGTATGGAGTGAGCCAATATAGGATAAAAACACAAGCATGTAATACAATGATACTTGATCGAAGATATGAAGACCTGGTCTCTGGTATGGTCATAATCTCTTTTCGATTCATAGAAATGGGTTGAATTCGTGATTGTGTAACCGTTTTCGGCAAAACGTTTGTCGAGGGATTGACTTCACTTCTCTCTTTGACGAGTTCGTAGCTTGATGCAGATAATGGCAAA